AACAATTTATTACCTGGTGGAATTCAAAAACTATTTAATGAAAGGGAAGGGGGATACAATTTAAGGGGTCAGTTAAATTTAAAAATTCATGTTATACGTACAACCAAAAAAAAATTCTGTATTTCCATAAGTGGGGTAAAACTATGGAATAATTTAAATGTGGACATAAAAAATAGTACTAGAATTGATGAGTTTAAACATAAGTATAAAGGTATGTGTCAATCAAGATATGGGCAAGAACAGGCTTAATGATTAATCAGATGGGAGTGTGGATGCAGAATATGTATCCATGTAGTAATACTGCTTGCAAACCAATGTTGATAAGATGATGTTAGGGGGTAGGACTAGATAAGTCTGACTTCTTCCTACTCCGTTCAAGCATGTACTAGGTATAAGCAAATTGATATTGGATTATTATTGTTGGATATGTGTGAAATTACATGTGCTGACATAACTGTTTTACATGCTTGAATGAATAAATCAAATCAAATGTCCATTGTTGTGCTTAAAGCTACTGTCTGATCAAATGAAACAAAACTATGTTCAGATGTTACTTATTCATTTAAGCTGCTACAGAAATATAAGATATTTGAGCTCTACAGATATTCCCTTGACACATTTCACAATAACAGAACTTTATACCTCCTGCTTAAGGCAAAATCATGTTTCAGGTTATTACTGTATATGGAATCGTGAGGTGACAAACAGCTCTTTGCCATCTTGTTATCAGTCACAAAAAATGGAAAATGCCTTTTTCTTTTTACAAAATATATGTAAATGTGAAATGGTGTATAGCTTGAATGTTAAGTAAGATTCTGTTAGAAATTCTGTTAAAAAGTAGAAATCTTTTTTTTTAGCAAACACTGAAATACATTTTTTTACACTTTCAAATTATTTTTCTCACTTAATCAGATATACCTTTGACATATCAGAGCACCATGAGCAAAACGTATTAGTTCTGGAATATTAAATAATGACTATAGTGAGGACTAAATTCTAGTTTAGAGGTCACATTTTAGATTTTGCTGAGCAGGACTTACTTGGGTTGGGCTGCAGGAGAACCTCTGTTTGTCTTAAGATCTTGTCAGTCCAGTTTTTGGTGCCATCAGCCTGAGTGATCAGGTTCTCTAAGTGAGGATCCAGCTCTGTCTTCTCAGCCTGGCCTAGCTTCTCCTCTGTGAACTGAAAGACAAAGTAGGATTTTGAGTGTGCATTACATAGTGTAACTTGACTAAATGAGACATGCTGACTTGTTAGGAACATGCCATTTGTGAGGTTTTGAGTGCTACATTAACAGGACTATACAATCATGGCCAAAAATACTGGCACCCCTGCATTTCTGTCAGATAACGCACCACTTCTTCCAGAAATGTGTTGCAATCACAAAGTCTTTGGTATTCTCATGTTTATGTCTTTTGTTTGCATTGGAACAACACAAAAAGCAGAGAAAAAACAATATCCGATCCATTCCACACAGAACTTCAAAAACGGACTGGCCAGAATTATCCGAGGCTGTGGCTCAGATGATTTTGAAAAGGTGTCAATAATTCTGTCCAGTCCATTTTTGGAGTTCTATTTAATTTCAATTCAATTCAATTTTGTTTGTATAGCACCAAATCACAACAAACGTCGTCTCAGGACACGTTACAAAGCAAGGTCTAGACCTTACTATTATTAATATTCTTATAGAGATAAAACTGGCGACTGTGGTTCAGGGGGTAGAGCAGTTGTCTTCCAGCCCTAAGGCTGGAAGACCTAATGATGCCCATGACACACTGAACCCCAAGTTGCCCCCGAAGGCTAAAGCAATCGGTGTGAGTTGTCGCCCCAGATGGCTGCCTCAGTTCTGTACCGGAAGCAAATTCTTTGTGTGTGTAACATAGTTGGCCAAATAAAATGACTATTACTATTAACCCAACAAACTCCCTTTAGCAAGCACTTGGTGACAGCAGGGAGGAAAAACTTGGTATGCCCGGTATGCTTAGGACAGACATTTAACCAACAAATGGGTCTATAAGATGTTGTATGTTTCATTTTGTAAAGAAGTACTCAAAGATATAAAATCCAAAAAGAGAATTGCCTGATGGTGTCTTCATGTTTATGGCTGGTTTGCAGTTTTAACAGGCTGCATGTTATCATCAGCCCAAGTGGTGTCTGTCAATCATGATTAATGTGTGAGTCACTGCACAGCAGCAGTGGATGGATGGATTTGATGTTGTTGGGACCAATTAGTTTCCCCACAAGAGAAAACTGACCAATTTTTACTATCAGTCCTGCCTGATACAACTTTGGACATTGTAGTCAAATATGTGACAGTGATTTTTACTGTACAAAAGAACAGCATTTTAATGCAGTGTGCTTCCTTTCTATGTTATGATCTCTTTAACCACTTAATAACCAGCAACAGTTGTTTTACTTTGTGCTGGAAACCAAACGCTGGGTTTCAGCAACAAGCTACAGAAACCCTGAAAGCTGCTGATAATAAAAACTGCACAAATTAATCATAACCACTCAAACGTAGCACCTTTACTACTGCCTGTGCACAGCCTGGCCACCGCTATGAATATTGTCTGGCTCCGCCACTGCCATCAATAATGTATCGAAGCTTGAAAAACAATTATCGGATTACAGCATTGGCCGTTCTCATGGAAATACACCACAAAATATGCCTGCTTTTAGCTTCACAACAACAACTTCACACATAAGCAGCTTTGGCAGTGTGGACAAAACCAAGCACCATGGCCCAAAGATAACCTATTTTTCTTTTTCGGGCTGCAGTTACAGTGTGACGGTAGATCAGTCCACATATTACGGCGTTACAGCGGAGGGTTTACCTGCACAGCCCGGGTGAAGAAGACCCCTGCATCGGAAGCCAGTTTTTTGACGTTGAAATCCATGGCGCCGTGTTGAGGGGAGCATAAAGGCAGGGCTGGTTCGTTTTCCTGCAGAGGGAATCCTCCGGATCAGCTGAGATGATGTAGTAGTATCAGACGCAGCGCTGAAGCCGTAATCCGCTCCATGGACGACCGGAAATCTGCTCTTCGCCCTGCATTTAAAGAGCCCACAGCACCTGGTGCAAGTCACGACTGGCCCGTCCAGTTCCAGGATTTATTACAGACACCATATTCTGGTTTGTTCCAGTGAAAACTTAATGTGTTCAGTTCAGCTTCTTTGTACTGGGAAAGAGGCAGACATCTTAAAACTTGGGCGTAAGACTTCAACTATCTACATGGAGCCAGGGGCAGATCTACACATTTGAAATACATGTAAAAAAGTAAATGAGAGTCCCTTCACCCTTGGATCCTCCCATGCATGGATAGATAAGGCTCTATTTCTGTTGAATCGACTGTTATGCACACATTTCAAATGCAAGCCTTACTGATGAACTTCACGTTAGAAAGATAATGTGCCATTAATGACATGTATTGAATGTAGCAGATATGTTTTGCTGAGGTCTACACCACAAGGCCAGACTGTCTTTGGGTGGATCAGGTGTGATCATGTGAGCTGCACTTAAGAGGCATCCAGTCTGTGCAGTTACTGAGGCTTCATTTACTTTGTTTCCATGTCACCTTAGAAATATTAAACTGACCTAAAAAGAATTATATTTAAGCACAAATAAATAAAACTGTGCTCAAATGTTAACATAAATTTAAATCTGCAACAACTTTTATAATCACTATCATTGCTTTCTTTTCTAAACCATAATTTAATTGAAACTATTATCCCCATTAATGAATAATAGAAATAATAATTGCAGCACCAGCCAGTTTCATCTGTCTTTGCCTGATCCTTAACCTAGCCTGCAGGACAAAATAAGGATTTTTAAAAGTGCAGGGGGCATGTCCTATTGTGTCCCACATGAAAATGACACTTTAACAACCTGTGAAAATAAAAGAAACAATACAAGAGCCATTTTGTTTTACCACTCCATCTTTATTGCTTATTCATATCTTTACACTAATGGCCTGGTACTATGTAGATCAGGACAAAAAATCTAATTCTGTAATGTTTGGATCAAAATGTTCTCCACTCACTTTTGGATGACACTTATCAGCAGTTACAAAAGAAAAGGACAACAGTGTTGACAAATTTCAAAAACATGACATTAGATAGTTTGTGAATGAATGTGATGCATCATTTCACCAAGTTCTTTCTTTTCATTTTCAGCACATACATAATTATAAATAACCAGGAACATTAAACATAAATGGTAGCTACCTGCTGTCACTGTCGTGGGGGTTAGCATAAATCGAAACATTCAGTGGCTTCAAATAGAGAATAAGTGGTGGAGATTGTAATAAAGAAGTACAACAAATAACTGACCTCCACTACCAGGACCTTTAGTTAAATACAGTGCGATTCTTAACTAACAAAAACATTTGTTGACCTTATGTGACATCGTGGTAAATCCACTTCACATCCACATAGTTGAATTCCAAGCATAAACATTTAGTGAGTCCCCAATAAAACTTTTTATCTCACACCACTGCTTACTTGAACATTAATTTCCACCATGAGTGTGACATAGTAACAAAACCAGAGCTGTACCAACCAGATTCCTTAAATCACACAAAGCAAAGTTGTATAAGACAACCAGGAAATCAAGTCAGTGAATAAAACCCAAGATTACTGATATGAAATAGCTTAAGAAAACATCAGTGAGGCAGCCCTCGTGAACATATTCCTTAACTGGATTTATGTAGGAGCCACTGAGTGACACACTGTACAAAGGCCAACACTGGGAACCAACTCGTGCTACACACATTGTGTGCTACATATTACAACCCCAAATCAGAAGAAGTTGGGACGGTACATAAAATAAAATTAAAACTCAAAATAGTAATGTGTAAATCATCTGTGCCCTGTATGACATTGAAAACAATACAGCAGCACATTATTTGATGTGAGAACTCAGTTTTATTCTATGTTTCAAATAGACTTCCACTTCGATACCGATGCCTGCAACACACTGTTGTAGAAACATCTGAACAGTCTTCACTACTGTAGGTGAAGTGAGTCTTTAACCCCTGCTCAAATTACTCATTTAAACCCATTGGGGTCTTTTAATAAAGTACAGCTAAAATACAGAGGCATCAATGCAGTGGAGTAAGGATTACATTTATTAAAGGTGTGACAACTTTCCTAATTAATCATTGCTTCTTTTCTCCATTTATTAATATTGTAAATGGCCTATCTTTGGGGTCTGGTCTGCCAGACTACACACACATACATACAAAAATCTCAAGATGCAACCTTGGGATCTTTAAATGTTAGTATGTGTCAACACATCTCCCAGGGGCATATTAAGAATGCCAAGAGAGGTGGTGATATTGATTGAATGGATGTGAGGAAATAGCTGGTTCTGGCGACACAAATTACACACAACTGTTAAAATGTATCCCTCCACTGCAGCTCAGCAAGGAACTACTTTGCAGAGACACAAAAGAGGGAAAGTGGTCTTAAATAGATTGTAACTTTGTGACTTGAATTAGCTTAGTGGGGCAGCTGAAGCTGTTTTTGTGTATCAGATGAACTTTGGAGGGCATTTTTTCCTTAGAATGCGGGCTGCGTAATTTGTTCCTCTCTCTCTCTCTCTCTTTTTTTTTAACAGTGCAGTTACATTCTGTGTGTAAATCTTCAGGGTTGGAGCCGGAAAAAAAAAAACTAAGCAGGAAACTAAGAGCTATTTTCACATACAAATGGGCATGCCAATATCGTTTTAAGACCAACTTGAAAAACCTAACCTGAACCTAACATTTAACACTAAAGTGATAAAGGCAGCTCTAATCCCTGCAGACATTAATACACCCCCATCTCGGGATTATTGCCAGGCCTTCTTTATATCTAATTTGTTACATAAAAAATGGAGCTTATATTATGTGTGGCTGTTCTATGTCTGCACTAAACTAAACTGAGCACCAATGCACAGTTTATAATTTAAGGATTAAAACCTTGTATTAAAAACAGTAAAAATATGTACATTTATATGCCCCAGAAAGTATTCTACTCACTAAACTAGGGGCTCCGTGGAGTTTTTGATGACTAGTAGTGCTGTGGAGCAGTGTTTTGAAAAGTGGGTCCTTGTCTTGCTTTTATGCTGGGCTCACATAAAAGGATACGTACACAGAAATGTGAGCAGCTTCTTCTGCTTTTGACTCTTTGGTAACATTTTTGTGAACCAAACTCTCCCACAAACTGAAGGGAACAGGTATTCTTATATGGCAATTTTAGGGATGGTTTTCACGCTAATGATAAAATCTCACAAACATGCACCTCATGAACAGATGGCATCCATCAGGCTTAAGTGAGCAAGACTGCAAGTTTTAAATGCACAAACATTTGTGCAGTTAAGACAGTCTGGTGAATCTGACTTGGAACATTTGCCTACCTGAGCAGACCTACCAGAAAAACTAGGAGGTTGTAAAACACAAACCAGTTTTTATTTCAGGCTCAATATGTTTTGTTGAGAAACACTGGGTGTAAAGATATGTGTAAACAAAAGTCAGACTTTAATTTGGGTTAAGAACAAGGCGAATCAAGTTAAACCAAAACAAGTGGGTAAAAGCAAGGGTGTGAGCAGAAACTTAACCTGCTACCACAACAGAAAAATTCCTCTACATTCACAGTCAAACCACTGAAGCAGTCCATCCCTCTCCCTCATGTGAGGATGACACCTCAATTCTTAGAGTCAGACATTACTTCTTGAACAGACAATTTCAAACTTTATATATACACACAACTGAATGCACCATTTCCCCCCCTGTCATCAGTTTTTTTTTTCCCCAGGTGTCTGATTTAAGTGAAGTGGTTACTTAGCAGCATATTGACGGGCCGTCGGGTGTTGTTAAAGGATAATCGTTTCTTTCAACCTTGTCTCTTTTATAATCTGGCATTATATTAGGCCACCGGAAGCACTGCTGAGCTTAGTGGCAGAATACTGGAGAGCGCTTTAAGATTCAAGATGCCGCCTGTGCTATTACATGTCCATAACATTTGTATGATTTAGTCATGACAAAACAGTATCTCTTGCCATAACTACCAGTGTGTGCAATATCAATGCTGTAATGACTGAGCAGAAAAACACACCACTGTAATTAACACTATATTGTCAAAAGTATATGGATACCTGAACAAAGTCAGTGGACACCTGAAAGAGGGAACCAACTTTACACAATGAATTGTTTTTCCAGGTGTTGCACAATGCTACCGCATATGGAAAAAAAGTTATAAAAAACTCTTAGTGTCTTGGGACCTGTATCTGTATCTGGTGCCCAAAACTCAAAGTCCTTATAGTTAGATGGTAGTGTGTGGCATCTAATAAATGTCATCAAATGATGTCACTCGTGTAAGCGTCAGCTGGGTCTGAAGACTGCAAGTTTGAAAAGTAGGTGTAGAGTTAAAAAGCAGTGAGTTTACTAGACGCCTGAAGCTTGCTCATCTACTCTGCTATAGCCAACCTGAATCTCTGAACGGCCAGTAGCCAAGTCGAATAGTGTGTAATGTAGGTGTAGGAAGAATGTGTGAAACAAAACAAAACAAAACAAAAAAAATCTATGGTTCTGCTGCGTTGATTTTGATCCAGTGTTTTTAATTGCAAGACCATTTTACAGGAGTGCAATGCTAAGTTGGTGAAGTACTTTTGAATATTACAAGTGAATAGGTTATTCCAAAACCACAGTGATTAAACTGCTGCTCCAACAGCCTCCAGTGTTCAGATTTCAGGCTTTCCATCACAGGTTCTACCTGGCAGTAATGATGTGCTCCCATTGAGACACCAGAGCTTTAGTGAGGTCCAACAATGACTGTGGGTGCTCTGGCTATCATCCGTGTTCTGATTCATCCCAAAGATCTCAGATGACGTTGAAGTCAGGGCTCTCTGCAGATCAGTCAGATTCTTCCATACCAAACTAGAAAATCCATTTGTTGGTGCACTGTGCCTTTACTGTCCCCATACTTTGGCCATATAGTGTATCTTTGTCTGTTTTGCTTTGCTCTCATATTTGACGCAGACTACTGATTCCAGCAAGAGCAGTCACCAGAATTAGGTTAATATGCCAGATAATTAAAAAGAGAATCAAGGTTGAACTAAATCTAAATGATCCTTTAATGAACCAAGAGACTCCAGGATTTCTAGATTACATCTGAATGACTGGGTATTCTTTGTATAGTTTCTTAGCAATGACCATATGTCAGTCAACTCAAAATTAATACCAAGTTAAGTCAAGAGTGTTACAGTTATATTATAAAACATACAGACAGTAAAAGAATGAGACAAACAGAGAATATTTACATATATAACAAAGAAGTCCATCATCATGCCACAAGGTCTGGGAAGACTTCCCTCCCATTAACACCAGTGTGATGCTTCTCTGCAGCCTACACACATAATGGCTAATTTTAACTGCATATCTGGCCACAGCTCAGTGGCCTGAGCATGAGCAAATGTGACTGTGTGTGAGCTGAGACCTCTGATGGTGATGCAGGACACTACATGGTCTTTAGCCTTTCATTCATAGTTACAATGAACAGTAGTGAGCTCAGCAGCACTTCTCTTTCCTTACACTGACAATCAAGCATCACTCCAAATGGTCTGTTCTGTCATTAAGTCTTTCTCACACACACACTGAGCGATAACAGTGACCCACCACCTCAAACCTATCCCAACACAAGAGATTCTTATGTGCAGCAAAGGTAAGCACCCTCACAACAAAACACCATGCACCATATCGTAAGTCCTATGTGTCAAATTTTAAGGTTGTATTAAAATTGCTGTGAAGAGGGCAAGAGACACAGTTCTGCTCTACAAAATAATGCTAAAAATAAAAATAATGCACAAAACTGAACCTTGATGACAGTAGGGGGCCTTCAGTTGGCTTGCTTGATGCTTGCTGGGAATCATGGCATCATGATTAGCATCAGCCTCTTTGTCCATAAATTACCTCATGTACATTATTTGTTTCCATGGGGTCTTCTTGGAAGTTTTCACACTGCTCCATTACTTTCCTAAAAAAAATAAAAAAATAAATTAAAATAGTTTACAAGCTGTTTGAATGTCCAAGACCTTCTCAGATAGTAAACTACAGTTCTGAACCAAAGGTACAGTATTTCCCTTTCAATAAATGCCAATAACGTTCTTTCACAGCTGACAAGGAGGCTTTCGACCATGATGGTGGTATTGAATTAGAAGCACATTCTGTCTGCTTATAGCTATTTCTGTCTTAATTGTTAACAATAAACATATTCCTAGATTTCATTTTGATACTGTAGCTAAACTAAATCATCAACAGCTGTCTCTTAGCTATGCACCCTTTATGACTTATGACTTTATAGACTTTTTCTCCAGTAAAATGGATGAGATTAGACACAAAATTAGTTAATCTCCATCTTGTTCTGTAGAGCCAGTTGAGCATTTTGAATCCCAGATGATCTACATTTTACTAAATTTTGAGACTGCATCTTTTCAATGAAATCAAATCAAATCAAAGAGCACCTTAACACAACGTGACCAAGGTGCTTCACAGTAAAAGAAACATTAAATATCAAAAGGATTAAAATATAAGAAGATAAAAATAATAAATGAATCAATGGTCATACTAATAAAAATTTCATCCTTACCAGATTCAATAAATACAAATAATACATTTAAGATTGTTAAAACCCCAAGTATGCAAGCGTAGGACCTATAATAGGATTCATAGGCCAAAGCAAATAAATGAGTTTTTAAAGGGGCTTTAAAAGTAGAAAAATCAGAAGAAGACCTATTACTAAAAAGTTATGTATTCCACAATCTTGGAGCGACTATGGCCAACATATTGTCTCCCCACCTCTGGTACCTAGCTCTTGGGACAGTTAAAAGAAACTGTTGTGAAGACATAAGAGTTTTAATCGGCTCATGTCATTGAACAAGGTAACTAATGTATGATAGTGCCAAACCGTACAGATTTTTAAATCCATTCTATAGTTGATGAAGCAAAACCATTACAGGAGATATTGTATGTGGTTATATTTAGGAGTGCCAGTCAAAAGATGGGCAGCAGCATTCTGAACCGAATGAAACTTATGAATAGATGATTGTTAACTCCACAGCAAAGCACACTACAATAATCCAGTCTAGAAATTATAAAAGTATGAATTGCACTTTCAAGGTCAATGAATGAAAGAAACTATTCAACTTTGCTTAATAACCTCAGCAAAAAAACCTTTACGACTATTAATTTGCTTATCCAATTTATAATCACTGTCAAAAAACACACCAAGATATTTTACTAGAGATTTTGAAAATAGAGAAAGATCCAAGATAGAAGCAGAAACAGAATCAACATTGCAAATACAAGGCACTCTGATTTGCTCTCAATAAAATATAAAAAAAAATGGTGGAGATGCAAGCTTTTATCTCATCAAGCAATCAGACAGACTGAAGTGGCATGGCAATAACAGATCTTATTGGTAGATAAATCTGATTGTCATCCACATAAAAATGAAAAGAAAGTTCAAATTTCTCTAAAATGGGCCGCAGAGGTAAGGGATAAAAAGAAAATATAAATGAACTGAGAACCAACCTGTGGGGGATCCCACAAGTTAAAAAAGACAGCAGCAGAAGAACAGTCTCAAATACTGTATGAACAGCAAAACTCCTATTTGAAAGATAAGACCTAAACCACTTTAAAACTGCCTTGGAGACCAACCGGAGTCAAATTCCTCCTGCGTTCAACACACCTGGCCAGTAAAGCCGATTCTGATTCTGACAGTCTTATCACATTTAGGCTTCATCAACTCTGGGAGAGGAAGGAAATTATCACCAGGTGTGTTGTGCTCCAGTCAATACAAAACATATATTTCATCCCATTTTTTTAACTCAGTCATTTTTTTATGACAAACCGTATGAAGGTCTTGTAGAGGTTTTGAACTATTAATACTGAAAATCAACTCTCTCTGCATAAGCTCTCTGGGACACCAGAGATGATAAACACATCAGGTTCAGTAAAATGCAGACTGACCTCCTGAGTGTAGTGCTGATGATGACACCAGCTAAACTGCCTAGTCAGTGACTTCACGTTTGTAAAATGTTAGTGAGACCAGTGTGCCTGTGAAACAGACCAGAACTAAAAGAAAACAATGGATAGTTTCTTGTGTGTACCAAATTACAGTTGCAAAAATGTTTCTGTATGCATTTAGATTACCACAGCGTCAATAAATGATTAATGACTGCTAGCTTGGGCCCAAGATATCAAATAATTCTCTTTACTGAATGCACCAGAAAGATTCTGAAACCAGGAAAACCGGTTCTTCCTGCTGCTAGTCAACCTGAGACTAAATGATCAGCTGTGGAATTTATCTTGGAGGCAAAACTGTTCCAACAAGGGAAACACTATAGTCCTCTGTATTTATATTGATTGTTAGGCAACTGCAATTATTATCAGTCAATCTGAGTACTTCTTCCTCCACTGCTTTAGAGAAGACTGACAAGTACGAGAAGTACTCCAAAGAACCACTTCAACCTTATCTGGTTGAAGTGGTTCTTTGGAGTACAGCCTCTACACAAAGCTGTCCATCTTACCTGGCCATATCCTTTGTCTCTGGCTGTGAGCTCTCCAGTTCCAGAACTTTCTCCAAAAGACTTATTCCTCCTTCCTTTATCAGCAGGGGGCAATACTTGCTTGCTGCAGGCCAAAAGATAATGGAAATAAAAGGACAGAGAATTATTCCTGTGCACTACTGTATACGATACAAGCACAATGTAGTCACAACAGTAGTACAGAATGGGTAGTATCACTGAACAAAAAATGAGTAGCCTGGTAACAAGTGAAAGAGAAAAGGTAATGTTAGAACAATAATGTTTTAAATATGGAAAATCATGTCTTAAAAATTACAATGTATTTTAGTCAGTACACAAACATGTACTAGTAGACTATTCAGATCTATTAGCTGAAACACATGGAATACTGTAACAGCTAGCTATAACTAAAACACAAGTTATCTATTCTAATTTCAGTGTTGACTGTGAAGAACATCATGTGAGCATTAAATGTGGTGCCTAGGCTGAAACCCTGCAGGGCTGCAGATACTCACGGTAAACTGAAACCAGGTTGTAAAGAGCCCATGTGGCCCAGTGCTGGCTGACAGGGGAGATGTTCTGGGGCAGCAGACGCAGGATGGGCTCAAATGACCTGAGACCAAAATCAGTTTAAAAATTGAAAATGGAGGAAACTGACAGTCTGTATATAACAATATACGATGCTCAATTTTCCTTCTTCGGAATTATATTTTTGCAGGTCCCACAGCACTCATACATACATTACAATAACCGGCAGATACTTTGACACATGGTCAAGATCTAATAAAATAACGCATTAAAAACAAACTATATTAATGAAATTAAATGCCTACACTAAAAATGTAGTAGACAACAGTTTAACCACTTCCAAAGTGATCGTACTCAAAGCTCTGTACTTTTTGCAAATTGTAGATTTCAATAAACTGACAAAATTGTCATTTTCCCCATCAGCCTACCGTACTCAGTAGCCCATAATGATGAAGTGAAAACTTGTTTTTAGAAAGTTTTGCAAATTTCTTAAAAATCAAAATCTGAAATCTGTTTTTTATAAAAGTATCCAGGCCTGGTGCTGTCGAACACCAGGCACCACTGGTCACCTATCACCTGACTAATACCATCCCTACAGTGAACCATGGGAGACTGGTCAGAACTGAGGGGAGGATGAATGCAGCCAAATAAAACTGGTCCAAGGCAATACTAGAGTGACTTCAGGACCAGTCTCTGACTGTCCTTGAGTAGCCTAGCCAAAGCCAAGACACCTGTGGAAAGAGATCTGTAGACAGCAGCTCATAGACATTTCCCATGCAATGTGAAGAATGGGATAAAGTGCCCAAATCCAGGTGTGGAAAGCTTGTAGAGACTTATCAAGAAAACCAGAAGCTGTAATTGTTGTCCAAAGTGCTTTTACAAAGCACTGAACCAAGGCTCTGAATACTTCTGTAAATGAGCCACTGTACTTCTTAATTTGAGTATTGCTCTATGGACCATTTTGGTCCACTTCTCTAGCACTATTTATTCACAGCTCGCAGAAGATGAATCCTACTGTCATCAATGACTGTTTGTTCAGCACCAACTACTAGATGGTTTGCTGTGAAAGTTGGTGCAAACATCCTTGACACCCTCAGGATGAGTCTTATTAACTTTAGTGATCCCTTCACGTTTCATATAATGCCATCATCAGGTCAAGAATTTCATGACACTTGTATCAAACGTAGCTGTGCTTTTTGTAAAAATGTTAGCATGCTAACATGCTAAACTAAGATCCATCCTTCCATTATCTATACCGTGTATCCTGAAGAGGGTCGCAGGGGAGCTGGCACCAATCGCAGCTGACATTGGGCGAGAGGTAAACTAAGATGATGAACATGGTAAACATTATATCTGCTTAACTTAAGCTTGTCGACACTGCTGTTTAAGCATGTAATGTTACCAGTCAACATAAAGATTATGCACAGCCTCACAAAGTTGGCAGCATGGTTGTAGACTCCTACAAACAGATCAGTAGTGTTTAGGAGTGACTTAAATCATGCTGTTGTCTAAAATCCAGTTCCATGTAAACACCTACTGGTTAGTTTTATGTAATCTTTAAAACCATACATTTTTCATTGAAACATTTTAATAGAAATATGATATATGAAAGTGTAAAATTAATAAAAACACGCTAAAGAGTTTAAAAGTAAGTCACCACAACATTAATAAAAAATACTTAATCCAACCTGTAGTTGATGTTGCGGCGTGAGCTGACATCCCAGCTCTGGATGGCATCCCACATCTTGTCCATTACTGTGTCTCTCTGTGGCTCTTTCATTGACCAAACCTCTGGCCCATCAAACATGATGTGTGAAAGCACGCCACATGCATTGTATGACACCTCAATCCCATCAGCCTTACTGTCCAGAAGGTTACTGTCAAAGCAACAAACAGTGAGGAGGGTACAGATAACATCAAAATCTGCTGAGAGGTCTTACTGTTACGGTGTGTGAATTAATCCAAAAAAGCAAAGCAGACAAAAACATCAGCTCTAACTACAAACACTATATTGAGACAAACTGTTGTTCAAAAATGCTTGTACTCTTTAGTAGTTTCTGTAGTTTTTTTGTTTTGGGTTTGGTTTGTTAGTTTTTTTGGCTCTTTCACTTTATTATAGTATTATGAGGCCAGATGGGTTGCCCTTCACTCCATATGTGTATCATTGAGCCTTGGACACCAGTGACTACACGCCCAGGTTGTTGTCTTAGAATATAAGGTGTAAGATTTAAGATGTGTCCAAGTACATGGCTGGAGTTATGACTGCCTGTCTGTAAATAATCAAACTGGAAGATTTTTAATTATTATATTGTACGTAAATCGCATGTGCTGTGAAGACATTTTGATGAGCAAGCTTCTAACAGGTTGCTGTAGATTTTGCTAAGGAGCCCATGGCATGCTTTTCCTTGTTTGTTGACTTATCTACTATGTTGCATGAACGCAACATGGAGATTATGACCATTCAAGGACTTAATTTTGTTAGTAAAAAAGTGTCGCAAATGAGAGTTTGCAAGACTTGTATAAGTTGAGTTGCTCGTGCAAAGAAGTACTAGAACATATGTACAACTAATCCTTTGAGAATTTTGGTCACATTTAAGATGATAATTTACCATTGTAGATAAGTCACAAAGCAAGGAAAAGCATGCCATGGTCACTTTAATTCTATTCTCCACTGGTTTCAGCAGTTTTCCTACCTGAATACAGAAATGAACTGTGGTGTGAGCAGCTGTGGCCTCAGAGCTTTGACCTCAGCAACATTTCCCAAAAGCCCTAGCATGTTGCGGTGAAGCTCTTGCTTATCTGGAAACTCCTGGATTAAGATCAACAAGAGGAGACACAAGTCATTTTTCTAGTTGTTAAAGAAGTTTACATACACTCAGGTGACTGCTCCTTTAACAGGTTGGAAAATTCCAGAAAATGTCATGGCTTTAGAAGCTTCTGATAGGCTAACTGACATCATTTGAGTCAGTAGGAGGTGCAGCTGTGGACATATTTTAAGGCCACCTTTCAAACTCAGTACCTCCTTGTTTGACATCACAGGAAAATCAAAAGAAATCAGCCAAGACCTCAGAAAAAAAAATGTATTGACCTTCACAAGTCTGGTTCATAATGGGAGGAATTTCCAAACACCTAAAGATACAACATTCATCTGTACAAACAATACTAAGCAAGAATAAACATCATACAGCCATCATACTGCTCAGGAAGGAGACGCGTTCTGTCTCCTAGAAGTGAACATACTTTGGTCTGGGGATTGATTTGTACTTTTCAAACAACAGCAAAGGACCTTGTGAAGACAGGTACTAAAGTATCTATATCTACAGTAAACGAGATACCAATATAAACTGAAAGGTTACTCAGCAAGAAAGAAGCCACTGCTGTCGATGACATCATGAGGATACAGTATATAGAAGCAACATCTTAGTTAAAGTTAAAGCTTGGTCATAAATGGGTCTTCCATATGGACAATGGGCCCAAGCAGACAAGTCAAGGTACTGGAGTGGTCATCACAAAGCCCCGACCTCAATCCAACAGAAAGTTTGTGGGCAGAACTGAAAAAGCCTGTGCGAGCAAGGAGGACTACAAACCTGACTCGTGTGAAATTCTGTCATTTCACATTCTTAAAATAAAGTAGTGATCCTAACTGACCACAGGGAATGTTTATAGGTTTAAATGTCAGGAGTTGTGAAAAACTGATTTTAAATGTATTTGGCTAAGGTGTTAGTAAACTTCTGACTTCAACTGTATGTGTATAGTATGTACACAGCTGGGACCGTGGGCTCACCTGAAGACACTCCAGAAAGAGACTCATCCCCCGACAATTGAGGAACATTTGACAATTGTCAGGCGTCTCATCAGTGATGTTCCACAGAGCGCTCCAGGAAAACTCCATCACCTGGTCACACTGAGGGCAAACAAGCAAGAATCATTTGATTTTAAACATACACTGGAATCAAGATTATTTTTATATTTGAACAATGAAGAATTTATTAGTAATAGATTCAGATATGTCATAATACTCTCCCAAATAAAGTGCTCCTCAGTACTTAAAAAAATACTATAAAGCAGTAAAATGTTTAACTGAAAATATGTAGAAGCGTACAACTTAGACTCACCATCCTGTCCTGTAGCTTCTTCTGAATTAAATTCAACATTGTCTAAGAATGAGAAAACAATAAGCACATAAAAATGGATTTATCAGCAGCACACTTCAAAAAGATAGTAAAATTTCAGCAAAATAAAGAAAGGGCTGTGTTGCCACACAGTAGAAGATGAAACACACACACATATTCCACTGTAGCACCACAGTGATCTACGTGGTGTACAGTATATGTGGTACTTTTGGTGGGAAAGCAGTATAACAAATAATTTAAATGGATCACTTTACAAAATGAATCATGATGCAGTGAGACAGGTCAGCAGGATTCCATGCAATTTTCCATACCTACAGCTTGTCTAGTATCACATCAGGTTCTATGTATGACCAACTATGTACCAAGTTATTGCTACCATGTCCTCCTTGTATGCACATGTGGCTGATGGTGCAGTCAACACATCAGTAATGGTGTGCCACAGGCCACTATTCTCCCTTATCAGTGTTTTAATATTATGTTGATGGAATAATTTTATATGGCTCTGATTCAACTCCAAGTCAGGTTGACTCGTAAGTCTGCATTTGATCCATTAAAACTTTCATCTTTAAAAGGTACATTAACTAATTTCTTTTCAGCTGCTAGAAAGTCTAGTGAGACTCAAAACAAACTGTTACGTCCTGTTTCCTAGCAAAGATGGATGCAGTCACTAGTCCGAAGCTACCTTTAGTGAAGTGAAAGGACTGAAAAATGTCAAGTACTGCAAAATGCTTTTTTACATTTTTATTTATTAATGTTAACAGAACTTAAGGTTGTGGTAAATAGGTTTACTTTTTATGTTATGAAACTGCTTTGAGTGCAGTTGAGTGAATATGGTATCGTAAAAAGTATCATTTAGGAACCAGTATTGAAATCAGGGTACTGGTATCAGTACTGCTATAGAAAATTGTGGAATGATACCCAGCTCTAGTCAGGAATAGGAGAAAGTTAAAAGAGTAAAGTTCATCTTGATGTTACCTTGACAAAGCCCATCTTTCCAACTGCTTCCTTGTGATGGTTGTCCACCTGACAGACCAAAGCGTTGCACAGGTGAACAGCGATTCTCTGGATGGACTCATCCTGCCTGGCTGGCTCCAAGATTTTAAGCAGCAGCTGGTTGACCCGAGTGTACTGGAACTCCAGCTCCTCTGGAATACTGAAGTTACACAGAGTCAAGCAGCAGTTCCTCTGGACCTGGTGTGGGGCACAGAGGAGGGGACAGTGCGTTAGAAGAAGGTTCACAAATCACACTGAATAGCAACACAATGCAGATCATACAGGCCTCAAAGCTGACTGGATCATACATACTGTATCTTTGATTAAGCAGTACTGTAAAAATTTCTTCACCTACTATATACATTCAAAAGTTAATTTGCTGGTTTCTTTAGATTTAAACACTGTACTTAGTAGGCTACAATGCCTTTGTGTAGAGAAGGTGAAGCTGTCATCATGCCATGCCATGAGTTTTGAGCAAATGTGTCTCTGGTGGGATCATCAGAGATATACAGTACATACATCTGTAAGTTCATTTAAAATTGAAAACTGTAGTGTCACTAAGAGCAGGAAATCACCTTGGAGATATCTGCTTTATGCTGAGGAACTCCAACTAAGCATAATCAATAACTAGACTTGATTTGCAGGAAGTGGGGAGTAGAGAGATTCTCACTAACCCCCCAACAAAGCCCGCCCTGGCCTTGTTCAAGTGCCAGGACCTTTTGTACGCAAATATATCGTGCCTCCTCTACACAGAGGCAAGACTTCTTTTACAGATGAAAGACCGTATGCTGCCTCACAGGACAAGCCACTGGGTAGTGTCTCAAAGACAGTTTTACAGTCATGGCCAAACATATCGGCACAGCTGCATTTCTGTCAGATAACACACCACTTCTGGCAATATGTCAACACAGCATCTAAATAGTTAACTATTAGCTATCAGACTAAGGAGCTCAATAGTTAACACATACCGGTGGTGGATGGGAGTCTGTGGGCAAAGCTGAAATGACTGCTGCTCTGCGAGTTTGTGCTCATTTAACGAGTCTTTTGATAAATTGCTCTGACTGGCTTTTTATTCTCGGAGGTTTTATTGCACTACAGTACAAAGCAAAGGTGTTACCTCAACTAGACTAATGTATTTCACCTGCATCCCCACAAAAATGACTGAGGTTTGATACTATAGCTCTGTTAATGTGCATGTAGACTGAGAAAACTGTCTTTTTCAAATCTTACTTTTATAGGCATTTATCGACCTTTGTTATTATACAGAAATGCGCCGCTACTGTCATTAGTTAGGGGGAGTGATTAAATGTCAGACCATTCTGACAAGTCTTGTGTAAAGTTACAGCTCCACTCTGTTACTGTCTGCCACATTTTATTTTGTTTCAAAATAACCAAGCAAGTTCAGGCGCTGACATGGGTATGCTGTTCGATTACTACAAACAGCATATACATAAAATAGTTCTGATGAATGCTTTTAACAAATGCTAATGGTAATGTCTGGACTGGTGCATTTAGACTTGCCATCAAATCATTATTTTATCCTAATTCAGTCTTCTGACAGCATAAATACAAATATATGTCACTCAATACACTGTCTTTTGTGTGATCAATTATACTGAAATGCACAATTACAAAACATGGTTCTTTAAAATGTGACCAGCGCTATGAAAGCAAAATACTACATGCAATTATCCACATTTCATTCATTAAAAACATCTTCAAATTTTTTTCCACAGACTGACTGCAAATTGACCTTACTTCCTCACGAGGCCAGAGAGTAAACTTACAGTGACCTCCTGGTACTGCTCCATTCCATTTAGCACCACTTGAATGACCTCTCTGCGCAGCTTCACACTCTGGTCACTGCGGTACTCTGTGTTGGTCAGGTAGAACAGAGCAGCACTGCCCGTTACCTGGATACTCTTGTCATATTTATGGCACTTCAGCGCTGCTATGACAAGCTAAAACAAAGACAAAAAGGTCATAGAAGAGGTTTAACAAAGATGTTAACAAGGTGTTACAGGAATAATATGCACAATGATTTGCTCGTCAGTCAATGGTGTCAGCTCTTTTAAAGAACAACCCGACTCGTACTTGCAAAGCTCGGAGCAGCTGATTGCAGTGTTGTATCCTGGCAATGTCGAACAGCTGATTGATGGCTCTGTGGGCCAGCTCAGGGCGAAAGTCTGTATAAGCCTCAATGGCATTCAGGACCTGGTCTTCATTCTTTGATCCAGTCACCTGAAAAAAGCCAGCAGCATGTTTAACACACACAACAAAGCCTAATTAATAATTAATAAGCATTTGCTGATATACCTACATGGCCTGTCTTAAAGAACACATTTTCAAGGGGTCTTCACCAGGGAACAAAAATAACAGGAGCCGTGTATTTTAAAACAACTGTCTCTGAAAATTATGTATTCTTCACTAAGCATAGAGGGTCCAGGGGTCACAGACGTCTCTTATGCAGTGGATTTATACATTTGATAGATTGGAGTTCCATGTGTTACATGAGATGGGCAACTGAAGGATGTCAGAAACACTTTATTATGTGAATTTGCCTTGAACTGTAGCAGCCAAACAGAAACCAACCATGGGTATGGGCGCATTTTGGATTAAAAAGGACACACACACACACAAACACACTCTCGCTGTCATCACTTATAGGGTCCGCACATAGACTTCCATTCATTTCTAGGAGACTTACCCTAACCTTAACCAGATCCACTACTTGCCTAACCTCAACCCTTCCCTATTCTCCTAACCTTAACCAACCCCCAGCTTGTTGCCTAAACTTAACCAATTCAGGACCAGTGCCTAACCATAACCACCTTGGAATATACACAAAAGTTAACCCTGAACGAAATCATCTCACAAACTTTAACCGCCACAGGATTCAGACAAAAAAAATCATTAACTCATAACCATGCCTCAACCACTGCAGTAAAGGATCCCAACTGGTCACAGATGTTACCTAATCCCAAACCAAACTAATAACATTAACACCAACATTAATCATTGAATTTGTCCAATTTTATTATCAATAGAACAATGTTTCAGGGAACCTGAATGACAAGCACCGGCCCATGCATTTCCTTTGGTTGGGAAACAGAACAGGGTGAGTCAGAAATAGAAGCTGTTCACCTAACATTTAACACCCCGTCATTTTTGTAAAATTCAATGAATTGGTCAGGGGGCCCAGCTTCTGGTCCCCACAAAGCAGTGTGCTCTCAGTGTTCCATCCACACAAGTATATTTAAACAAGGCCACATACACACAAAATACTAAATATGAATGTGAAGTTGCCTGTGTGCCCATATACTGTAAGAATTAAGATTTCTAACATTACATTGTTACATCATTTCTTTCAGCTCACAACAAGTTTCCTAAAAGGTAAAGTTGTTTTATTGCTTTTATCTGACAGGTGTAAGGTCAACTGTATTTCATGTAGTGTTCATTGTAGTCTTTTTGTTTCAATATCCATAGAAAATAAACAAAAAACACTATCAGTAATGAGTGAACTTTGTAAGAACGAGGTGAACTTCAACAGAGCTGTGACTGTAACTGAGATATGTGTTATAAAATAACATTCCCTAACTCTTCACACAAGGCTGTTTCAGTTGTGATGCCCAAAATAAATACTATCCGCACAAAACCTGTAATATGTGCCCGGCCCTTTAGATAGCCAGTACCTTATTAGCAGGGATATGCGTCACATTACACAGGGTGGTGTCATATAAGCCCAGAAACTGCAGCGGCCTCTTTAGCTCCTGGAAAGGATAGATGCTGCTCATGCACGGCTCAGTGCTGAAAGAGAAAAACAATGTGATGTATTAGGAAGTGCACGTGTGCATCAGAGCTTTCTTTGTTAATGTTGTGTATGCTCTACAGTTTATGCCCTACTGGTTACCCACCTTGGCCGCCCCAAAGCTTCTTCAAAGTGTGGAACTGTGCAGTTGTCGAGCATTATGTGACCTGATATATCTAGTGATACCAAATTGACCAGATGCTGTACGATGGATGTCAGGATTTTTCTGGTCATCTTAAACTTAAACACCCGCCTGCTCTCCCGGGAGATGTCAAGATGCCTAAGGAATGCAGTGTAATTTATTAAAGACATTGACACATATCATTATTTACAAATTATTAGTAGACATGTAAAGGGAACAATAAACAGATGACAAATGAAAGGAAACACCAACAAAAAGTGTCTCAGTAACATTCTGGGCCACCACGTCTTGCCAGAGTGGCATCAGTGCACCTTGGCATTAACTCTACAAGTCTCTAAAATCTACTGGAGGGATGAACACCATTGTGGAAGGGGGCATTGTCATCCTGGAAGAGCCTACTCCCATCAGGATAAAACTGTTTCATCACAAGATAAAGGTGATCACTCAGAACTACTTTGATTTAATTTGCAGTGACCCAATCCTCTAAGAAGGCAAAGTGGACCCAAACCTGCACTGCATTTGTTATATTTCTCCAATCATTTGTTTTTCCGCTCCTTTGCTTTATTTTTCCTTTAATTTGTCATCCATCAGTATATTTATATGTGGACAATAACAAAAAAAAGTCATTTATAAGAACTGCATTTGTCTATGCAGTGGGGGAATTACTGCCAATTTTTAATATTTATAATTTCAAAGGACTTTGAGGTTGCAACTGCCACCATCTTTGTTGTGTAGTTACCATGGTTACAGGTGATTATTTATTCACACACACTGTCCATGTCATGCTGCTTTGCAGAGCAGCAAGTGATTAAGATGACAAATTCACTCACATTTGGATCAACATCCTGTTCAATGGGTTTAGTTTGAGAGGAGAGGCTAAATCATGGGAGAACATAATCACTGTAAGATTTCTGTAGTCAACATCTAGAGGAAGATTTAGATGGTTGACTGGCTACATTAATCCTGGAACTGACTCAATCCTTATGATAGCATCACAAAGACATCACACTGAAAGGGATTTTAATAATGTTATATCTACATCCACATAACTTAATGTTCCATTATCTGACCTTAGTTCATAAACCTGTTTCTTCCTAGAAGTGGTAAGGTCAGATGACAGTCACCCAAACTTAAAACTCATCTGTTTGCCTTGTAGTTGCTAATCCTAGTTATGTACGGTATATTTCATGTTGTTCTGCTGACAGGATTACTGCAAACCTTTTGAAAAAGCACTGCATCTTTATAACCCTGTCTGATATCCAAGCATTCAAGCTGTGTGCCTCTCTCCTCTCTTCCCTGCTCTCTCTCTCACACAGGTTCCATGCAACGGACCATCGGATATTCTGGAACCCCTCTCTCCTCCAGTTCTCGGTGTCTTTTCAAATGTATGGATCTGGATCCTCATCCTTCAAGAGCTCTGACCTCTTCTTTGTCCCTCTCTCTAATGTACTGTATGTTTGTTGCCTTCCCCTATATGTGTGAAAGGTGTGCTCGGAATATGCCTCTCACATTGTTGTGTAGTCTCTTCCCCTACCTTTACAAATTGCATGGGTGCCATCAGACAGAAAACTCATGGTTCAGTTTGGATCACGGATTTTGAGTGATGGATTAGATCATTTTTTGGATCAGAAACCAAAAAGTACAAATTTTCAATAAAATCTCTAAATAAATCTAACCACGCAGCATTTGTTCTTAAGTTTAAACAAGTAGTTTCTGAGCCAAAATGTAATGAGACTGTGACCATTTCATAATTTTAATGGCATGTTCATGATTGTTTCCATGACAACAAAAGTCTGTAAAGCTTGCCACTGCTAATATTAGCGTGAACACACAACTGCTGTGTCTGCAGCTTTTCACTGCAACTTCACATTAAGAGTTAGCGAATTATTACTTTATACTGACAACACTATTTTAAGTGCCTTGTAGTTGTACCTAATTATTCCAAAAGACCTAATTCCACCCTACTACCATGACCAGAATTAAATGCCTTCCGATGAGGATGGAAGACAGATTGGATGAACTAGTTCTTTTCCAGCACTGTCCAAATGAAGATACAAAGGACTTGCATTCAATGAAGTCTGCAACTGGCAGAGACACATTTATATCAGGCTGTGTTAAAGCATTATGAGAATTCACATGTAAAAACCCTGTCCCACCTTACCTGAGATTAACAAGTTCCACTACTGTACTGACCAACTCTTCTGACAGGTCCACATTGTAGAGAATAAGAGAGGCCAGTCTGTCTTTCCACTGGGTGAGAAAAGCTGTTCTCAGCAAAGGTACATTAGACAGATCTAGTGTGGTGAGTGACTTCAGAGGTTTGAGCAAGGTCTCAGCATCCACTTCCTCAGGTAGACCACCCAGGTTGAGCAATCTGAGGCGGTTGAATCCCTGGAAGTTAAAGTCTGTCTCTAATGCAGGACTCTCCTCCTCCTCATCCTCAGTGTCTTCATTGCAGGCAAGTGGAGCACTGGAATTCCTGTAGAAGATGTGGTTGCAGCCGAAAAGACAAAGAGACACCAAGGTCTCACGGAAGCAAGTCAGTGTTTTCAAACTGCGAGATGACAGGCTGTTGCAGTAGGTGAGGTGGAGTTCAATAAGATCCTGGCAAAACACATAAAGGAAATACTGAATTCAGGAATTACTGGACATCAGAGATGAAAATACTGACATCAGATAGGTCAACCTATAACAAAAGACTATCATGATACATTACCCATCATAACACACCTGCAGAAGAAGTAGCTTGAAAGTACTTTATGCAAGTACATCACTGTATCCTTTAAGGCTAAATCATGTTTTCTGCATACTCTTGTGCAGCTGCAGATGACAGAGGCACAGACGTTCCTATTCATACTTCACACTGAGGGTCTACCTGTTGTCAATGTACGCCAACGTTTTTCAAACGCTGTGGGACATGTACAGTCGTGGTTTTTTTGTTGTTCTGACAGACCACGCAGACACAAATTTCTTGCATGCATGTGGACATTCACACCAAGTTGTGCAGACCCTCGCGGGCCTGGGAAGATGACGACATTTACGTCACTGGATTGAAGTGGAGAAGCAGACATGGAAACCATGAACAGCCCTTTACTTTTCCATGATTGTACACCTATTGATCCTTTATGGTTTCACACAGATTGCTGTGGTGTGTCTGAATCATTTGATTTTCTGCAACACACCAAAGGACCCACACACACTCAAGGGCACATACTGGATTTAGTTTTAACTGAGTGTTGATATCTCAAGTACTGTTGTCAAGGATGTAAGCCTCTCTGACCATTCTTGTGTTTTCTTTGATATGTCGGTTTTACCTTATGTCCATAACACTTCAGTCGCTGTTAAAGAAAGGTATTTAAGTTATCATACTATTTCAGTCTTTATGGAAGCTATGTCTGTGGTGGTAAGCTTAACATCAGACTGTGCTGATTCACTTCCTGATCATATAAGCTATGAAACTCTTGAACTTATTAACACCATTGCACCTGAAAAGGTTAACTAAATCTCTGACAATCAAAAAGCACCATGAAGAAACACTCCGGTCGTCACAGAAAAGAGAATGCAGGAAAGCTGAATGCAAATGGAGAAAAAGTAATCTTCAGATACATTATGCCATCTTTAGAGAGGGGCTTCACATTTACAACTCGGATGTCAATAAAGCTAGACAGAACTTTTTCTCTAATGTCATTAACAGGAATATCAATAATTCTCATGTTTTGTTTGCCACTGCTGAGAGGCTAACTCATCCCCCAACACAGTTAGCCCCGATTTCCTATCTCAAAGTACGTTTAATGAGTTTGCATCATTATTTAGTGAAAAAAAAAAATCAAAAACATCAATCTGGCCTTAGATTTACCCATGTCAAACAATGCAACCAGACCACTGCTGCAGCCACACAGGAACAATCTGGTTAGAGTGTCAGCATTCAACACTATGATTGCTAAAACACTGGAGGGTGTAGTTAAGAATCCTGACACCCTGCCAACCAGCTTCGTCAAAAATGTTTTCAGTTGCTTGGAAATGGATGTGCTGAAAATTATTATTAATGACTCACTCAGTGAAGCTTCTGATACTGTAGACCATAAAATATTTCTTGATAGACTGTAAAAGTGGATGGGATTATCAGGTACAGTCCTCAGTTGGTTCAGATTGCATCTTGAAGGCATGGGTTATGTTGTTTCCATTGGTGATCATAAATCTGAGTGCACCACCATGACATATGAAGTCCGCTGTTTTTCTGTACCTTTGATTGACTGGTTTCTATGCTGTACTTGAACAATATTTTATCTTCATTTTTCTGAACAGATTTTATACAGGTTTTAATGCAGAGCCGTCCCTGGTAGGCTAGTGGTTAAGGTGCAGCGCTCTCGTCACTGCAGCCCAGGTTCGAATCAGGGTTGCGTCAGGAAGGGCATCTGGCGTAAAACATGTGCCAAATGTCAACATGTGAGTCGTCAGTGTGACGATTTGCTGTGGCGACCCCTAAATGGGAAAAGCTGAAAGTGACTTTCTTTAATGCAGAGTGTTTTTAATGCTGTTAACAGTTTTTTTTTTTGCATTTGTAAAGCACTTAGAATTGCCCCTGTATAAGAAATGTGCTAATCTAAATAAAGCTACATTGCCTTTAAAAAAAATAATTAGACACCAGTGGATATTTTTGGCTGTTGTTATTGACTCACTGCTGTCCCCATGTTCACTGAAATGAGAAATGTGTTTCTTTTACAGCTTTTGCTTTTTATTATAAACTTTAAAAGATAAAGAATAACTTTGTTGTTAGTGAACCTGCCTTATTTCCCTAAAAGTGGGTATGGTGACTCTATAGCTAGTGCTAATTTCACTATCACAGCCATTGTAGAGATTTGGAGAAACATAAAGTTGCATTAATCAGTATCACTGGTTTGGTTTGGTTACTTTATTTATACCCGTAGGTAAATTTGTTTTGCAGTCAGATCAGATCAGATGACGTCCTTAACACATTCACTAAAAAAACCACAAACATAACACCAACACATACACTAAACGTAATAGAAATACTCAGAACTCCACCATTCAGCACATAAAAGACCTCAAATAAAACAAAAACGTAAAATTATTATATACAATGTATTACTGCAGCTTATTCAGCTCTATAACAGCAACAGGAACAAAGCTGTTTTTGTACCGCGTCGTTTTACAACTCAGAACTGCAAACCTCTGGCCAGAGGGAAGAAGCAAAAAGTAGCAGTGCAGGGGATGGGAGTCATCATTTAGAATAGAAGTAGCTTTCCTCTGTACCTGTCTACTGTACAGGGTAGCCATACTTGGCTGAGACTCCCCTAGCAACCGGCTAGACCACTTAACTACTCGATCTAAGGATTTCCTCTGTCTTAGAGATAGCTGACCGAACCATGACACCAAAGAAAACGATAAAATAGATTCCATAAAAGCTCAATAAAACATATTCATTAAGGTTTGGTCAATATGAAAGTGTGCAAGTTTCCTTAAACAGTGTAGATGTTGCTGACCCTTTTTGCACACCCTTTCACAATTTTTTTCAAAACTCAATTTACTATCAATGATCGACCCCAGGTATTTATATGAATGGACAGACTCAATAGTCTGCCCTTTAATTAAAGTAACCTCCTGAAATCAATAAGCATATCTTTGGTTTTTATTATGTATAGTTGCAGGTAGGATTCCTCACACCAGCCTACAAAATCATCAACAACTGGACCATGGCTATTTTCACCATCCCTAAGAAGACTGACAATAACTGCATCATCAGCATACTTTATGATGGTTCTATTGTCCCATCTACTCTGACACATATTTGTATAGAGAATAAAGAGTAATGGTGACAACACACACCCTTGGGGAGATCCAGTAGAAGAACCCCTTTGGTCAGACAAAACACTGTTGACCCTGACTCTCTGTGTCCAGTTAGTTAAAAAATCCAAAATCTGGGGCAATTCGTTAGCCTCAGGGAGCACTCAGAATAAACATGATTTCAGTCAAATCATTTTTCTCACTTTTAGAACATCTGGGCTGCCATCTGGGTTAACCATTACAATACTTTCGCAAGGCACTGTACATTCAGGTCAACTTGGCCCAATCATCCTATGCAGTTAGCTGTAGTGGGTACCCCACACAGCTACATCTTGTGTTTGCTTTCTTTGTAACACAGAGATAAGTGTGAAAAATGATTTGACAGAAATCATGTTTATTCTGAACACTTTTGGAGGCTAAATGTTTGCCCCAGCGAGACCGTTTAGTGCAACTTTTTGTTTCCTCCTGTCTCTACAACTGATGTAGTGATAGCGAAATTAGCACCAAATATAGAGTCACTATACACACTTTAGGGGGCAATACAGCAGGTTAAAAAAGTTACCCTTTAAACAACTCAAAGGCATGTATTCTCTAGCAGGAGGTGGCACATTAAATCTTGTGCTATATTTATATTTTGAAGACTATATACACCATGCTATAAACTTTCGTTAGAAACCAAACACTTGCACCAATCTCAGCAGGACACCTGTAAGAATAAATGAAACTTTGTTTAAGCAATAAAGATGAATGTACTTAAAACTGTCCAGTACAATCATCTATTGCATTGTAAAGCCATGTGCATTCACACCTACAGTATTGTATGTATAAGTAAAGAAAAACTAAATCAGGAAGTCAGAAATTTTCCTTGATACAATAAGGAGTTTACAATCAACAGTTTGGTTAAAAAAGTTAAGGTTCTCCTTAGTTTCAATTTCCAGATAAAAGGTATGGATAACTTGACTGCCTGTCTTACATTGTGCCACACACACATTCTACTGGTGTCAAAAATGTCTATGTTTCTATAATTCAGTTTGTATGTAGAATGCAGAATGAAATAATCATGACCTGATAAAAATGATGGCCAAAAATAAAGAAATAAGACAGAGGTTGTAAAAGTAAATAAGTAAAAATATTTTTTTAAGTGAATGACTACAGGTCCTTTGAATTTGTTCTAGTTGCAATGGCTGACAGAGATGAACCAGGAAAATTAAAATGCTCTACTAAAGGTGTCATGAGCAAATTCTGAAAAATTTGTATGACTAAAGATTGATTTATGGTTCTGCGTTGAATCTACATCGTAAGTACAACATAAGTAATGCACAGCCTCATACTCTATGCCGTAGCCTGACGTACACCTCTCCAAAAACGCAACTACACACTGTGGTGACACGGACTGCAACAACTGTGATTGGTTGCATTGCATTTCTTCATTCAGGTCTCTCAGTGGTCAGACAAACACAGAAAATCCCTCCTCCTTCTGGTACAGTTAGCACAGTGATTGTACAGACCATCTCCTCTGATGTCTTCTCTTTTATCTGCATTGCAGTAATGTCAGTAAAATAATGGTTGATCAACATCTATTAGTTTTAACTCTAACATGACGCACTCAGTTTCAGTCACCATTGTTAATAAGTAGCAAAGAAATGCAACACAATGGCAAAGAAACACCACAGTAATTGCAGAATGACAGAGACACACCAGTGCAAGAGTATAAATGTTCACAACAGCGCAGGCCACTTGTGTAGCCTACTGTGTGAGCGCTGCATAGATTCAGCGCAGAACCATAAATCAAGCTTAACTTGGGGCATCCCACCTGTTTTCTAATGGCCTCCAGATCTCTGTCACGTACAAAGTCTTCTCTCAGCTGAACCCTGGTCAATCTGGTGCTTCGAGGATCAGAGAACAGTTGGAAGAAACTCTCTACTGGTTCAAAGTTACTGTCTGTGTGGACCAACTCCATATATCTGTATACAAATAAACAAACAAAAACAACATAGCTCCAAATCCCCCTTGCAGACAAGGAATCTACAATACTGTAACAAACACAGGGCATCTGGAAAGAAAATTCAGTAATTAGGTAAACATCAATGTGATGTATTCTGTTACGTACGTGTTGACCAGCTTGTCACAGATTTCGCTGGGAAGGAAGATATCTGAACGCAGGCAGAGCTTGTTCCTGAATCCCTGGTAGCACATGGTCTTCCTGAGGTTCCTCAAGCAGAAGACTGTTGCCAGAGTCATGAGGCTGTCCGGGTTGTCTCCTGCCTTGGCTGCCATGTTAGCCTCTTTTTCTCTGGGTCAGATAAAAGACAGGGCAGTGCAGGGAACCTTAGGGGGTATTTAACAAAGTAAAGAGTTACAAGCAGATTCTTTTCACAACCGGCTGCTTCTAGGGGAGAAAAAGCAAAATAATTCCCTTTGATATTCTAAGCAGAAGAACTTGTGTTTTAAATGTGAGGACTGAATGTAAATGATGATTAACTGAATAAATGTGAATAAAAATAGTGCACACCCTGCCACAATAAGCTAATACAAGCTTCATTTTCCCACTATGTTTGGCATTCACTGCAAATAAACCTTAATGTTTGGAGGTTACTATTTCTCTTTTGGCCAGGGACATTGACAACAAAATATTATCCGAATGCAATGAGGATTATGCACTCAGAAACAAAGTTGGCACTTAAAGAAATCTCATTCTATCCAAAAATTTAAATTAAACACTCATAACTGAACATTAAGGCTAACCTATTTTCTATAATGCATTTCCTGTGTCTGGTAAATTAAATGATGCATATACTGCTAACAAAACTGCCAACAGAAACGGAGGCCATATTAAAAATTTTTTCCACCTATTAGTAGACATTGCAGACCTACGCAAACTTAGCCAAGTTAGCAAACACGTCTATGGCTGCCTGCTGTTAGCAACTATAATTGTCTATTGACACAACTTGTTTCAGTGTTTATAACAAAATGATTTTAAAGTATTAATATTATGCTGAGTGACTCCAGCTGATAAGTCGAAGCCACTGACCTAACTTGCTGTTGGTTTTGGTTGGTACTATCCTACTTGTTTTTAACCTAAACACATAGATTGTCATTTCTCCTTAGTAACACCAGCCTAAACACATAGATTGTCATTTCTCCTCTGAGACAAAACACCAGTGTTAATGTTACTAAGTTAACGTTAGCAGCCTAGCTAGCGAGCTACACTGTACAATCATTTTACGTTAACAACAGTAAAGCTTAATAGTTACTGACAAGGAGACAACAACTGTTAACCTACATACGCACAACAACCCAAAATTCCCAAGAATAATACCTGTTATTGTAAGTTAAGCCTTCATTCGCCGATAATGTAATAGCAGTACTAAGCGTCTAAATTAGCTTGTGGCTAACGATGACTTTTCCTGCTATCTTGTTAGCTAACTTACCTAGTACGGCTAGCGCTATCTAAGAGCTGTGCGTGGAAATGCAGGTTACAAACCATGGGTGTGTTATGTGATCAGCTGTGTTTGAGTGCATGACTTATCAGCCAGTACTCTACCTTAGCTTTCGCCAAGCCTGCGTGTCTTGATGACGATGAGAAATTGAGTTATTATCATCAGCCTTCACTCATCTGGTTTTCGCTTTCGTCCGATGTCAACAAACAGACTCCTCCTCCTCCTCATTTTTTGCTTCTCTTCCTGGCTTCATCTTCTTCGTTGGTACGGCAGTTTAGGCGCAGCAAAGGCGTATTGCTGCCGTCTGCAGTTTGAAAGTAGTCATGCTCAGATTATCCGATCCAGCCTATATGCGTTGATATCGTCCAGTGGCATGAAAGAAATCCATTAGTTTTTTTTAGTTTTTTTTATTTGTTTGAGTCCTCCAAGTTCAGAAAAGTTTTTAAAGTCAAAACAGTTTCCCCAAGTTCTGTTCATCCTTTGTACAGTTCATTTCATGCTCCATAAAATTAGCACAATGAAGTAAGCAATGATTTATAGGCTCTACCTGTCCACACTCAAATTCAGGATGTTTCCTGATCAGAGCCAGCCCACTTTTCAGCCCGGAGTGGCCCATCCTCAGTCTTATAAATTTCACTTGGTCCATCAAACGAAGTGACAGTCTTATGCACTGATGGTTATAGTAAATGGTAAAACCTGCCCTTGTGATCATAATCCCATGGTTTTGCCACATTTGAGAATTTCTACTTTTGACCTCCCTCGGTTTATGGCTTCCAGATGGCTGTCTTGGTTCTGTACTGGAAACAAATTCCTTGTGTGTAACATACTGTACTTGGCCAAATAAAGGTGATTATCCTAAATATACAGCACAGCTTTCCAGACCAGCAACCACTCTATTCATTAACTTTTGATGGGTGGCTGGAACACTTCTTGAGCCAAAAAGCATCACTGTATATGAATACAGGCCAGCAGTGGTATTCTTGTATCCTTTCTTTGCATTCATCTGCATTTTACAATAAACTGATTGTCAAGCAGCCCTAGTTTTATTTGTCAAACTTTCACAACAAATAATTTAAAGGAAAACCTTTGGTAACTCAGAAGGCCACATAACGATGTTCCATTCCTTTGAAATTGTATTCTGCAGTGGATAGCTGGTCACACACCTGTCTCTACAGACACAAAAAGCTTCCTCCACATTTTGCCTTCCTGCCTGAGGTTCTTCTGTTTCTTAAATGTGGGTAAAACAAACATAATTTGGACTGTTGTGACAAGAGCATCAAATATTATGTTATAGGCCACTCATTAAATGCAGAAAAAATAGTCAAAAGCTAACATAAACTGCTACATGTGATGCATTATGCAACATACCTAACATTTTATTTCACCAATAAACAGAGTAGTAAGAGTAGTCCAGCTGATCATTTGGATTGATGGGCAGAGCTCTAATTTACTTCACAATCAACATCTGCACCTGGTTATGTACTAGCTAAGGAAGTTAATGTTAGCTTGTTTACCAACTACAGCCAGGTCTTCCCTCATCTCTCTGAACCTCTTCCCTGTCTCAGCCTCCTCTAAAGTTTTCTTTAGTCTACCTACAGGAGTCAGTTATGTTGGAGTCAAAATAAGATCATTTATATTATTCAAAAACTAATTTGTCCATGTCACATACTTAAATCTATTACTTTCGTTTGTTTCACACACGAATACATAATCGCTGCAGTGCACCAGCTACAACGTGCATGATGTGCGTACAAACCCTGAACACTGCACCTCAACTTGTATTTTGCTTTGACAATGTGGATTAGAACAACAAATCATCTTTTCCCAATTATTATCAAACTAAATTAATCCACTGCCAAATATATGAGATTGTTATAACTCAAATGTATAATTTTACTGGGGCATGTGCCCACCAAGACCTTTTACACATACTACAACAAGCCCAGAGTATATTCGAGAAGCTTCATGGGCCAAAGAGGAGGCCTACAGGAGTGGGGACAGGATCCTGTACAGGCAGACCAGGAACACACTGACAAGGGAGATCAGAGTAGCAAAGAGGAGCTACTCTGAAAAGTTGAAAAACAGTTTTCAGCCAACAACCCCTTGTCTGTGTAGAGAATTCTGCAAAACATCACTAGCTACAGAAAATCATCCCTACACTGCAGAAGACCATCAACTGGAAGATGACCTGAATGCTTTTACTGTGGGTTTGAGAAGCAGAACTCCACAGCCCCCATCCAACTCACCTCGAGCCCAGCAGCTGCTTCCCCCCATGAAGTCCTCTTTGTGGACTTCAGTTTGGCTTTCGGCACCATCCTCAACTCATGGAGGATGGCTGGGATGATGAAAAGGTGAGGCTGGGGAAAACCACATCCAGTACCCAGTCAATCAGTAGTCAACCAACAGGGATATGTGCTCTCCCCACTGCTGTTTTACCTATACACCAATGACTGCACCTCAGGGGACCCCTCTCTTATACTCTTGAAGTTCACAGATGACACAAGGGTCATCGTCTCATACGTGATGGTGACCAGTCGGCGTAGAGACAGGAAGTTGAACAGCATTTGCATCTACCTGGATCAGCAGCACTTTGTCAGCAGTAGAGTCATTCAAGTTCCTGGGCTCTACTAGGACTTGAAGTGGACATCCAATATAAGTACCATCACTAAGAAGACACACAAACCACAGTCGACAAATCTGAGGGCACAGAATCAGAAAAGAGAGCAGGCATGGCCTGGATTGTGCTCTCAAATCTGTATTTGCTGTTACAAATCTGTGTTTGTGAGCTATCACATGCTGGGTTGCTAACTGAGTAGCGCTCAAAATGTGGTTGGAGCACCCTACAACTTTATGGCGGGGATCTACTGACATATAAATGTGTCAAAAACCCGCAGGCACGCGCACATATGCTCACGCAAGTTTTCTTGCCTACCAGCTTGTGAAAGTAAGTTTGTAAGCCTGAAACTGAATGTGCAAACCTGTAAAACAGTTTCCAGGCAGAAACCTAAGTGGACAAGCTTGCAAAATTGAATTTACAAGTACAAACCCAATGTTGCCAAGCTTGCAAAATTGAATTTACAAGTATAAACCCAATTATCTTGCAAATAAAAACTGCATAGATACAAGCCTAATGTACAAGCTTCCAAAATTAAGTTTACAGATGCAAACCTATATGTACAAACTTACAAAACTGTATTTGCAGATACAAGACTCTGTTTCCAAGCACGCCCTTGTGAATAATATAATAATCAATATTTTGATAATGCTGTGAAGCGGAACAGCGCGTGGTGTCTGCCCACAATGCTGTGAAAACGGAAGTGATCAAATGACCTTCTTGTGGCAAATAATTCAATCCTCATTGGAAACAGTTAAGGGAGTACTCTGCCGCCTGCTGAGACATGTCTACTGCGTACAAAAACAGGTGAGACACAGCAAAATCTTTGTTCTCGGGAGCGTTACAGAATGCGCGGAACGCGAAAACTAGTGGACATCGCTTATTGTAGGAGCTAGCATCATCACCGCAAAACTGGCTTTAACTTCAGTGCTAGCTAGCACCAATAGCAGCTTAGCTAACCAAATATAAACCAGGTTTAGGTTTGAGCAGGCAAGCGCAGCAGAAACATACACTTCGTACATGCTAATATGATTTCTGATATGGTTTTTGTACAGTGTATAACGTAATATTTAATCTCAAACACAGCGAGCCTCTCCTGCAGCTGCAACATTTTAATAGGTTACGTTACATCAGCTGACACATCATACTCTCATACTTCCTCTGCTAGCTGTTGTCCAGCTAGCTGTTTTTGCTGACAGCGTCTCTGTCAATAAAGAGTGAAAACAACCGTGAATACGTTGTCCTGACGCAAATATATCTAATGGCAAGAGCATGCTTTCTTGGAAAAACGTTCTGGGCTCAATTTACAAAGACGGTTCTAATCTATTTTCAGAGTTAGGATTATCTTTAATGACCAAATATGTTTGAACATACAAGCTGTTTGACTCCGGTGCAGAGGCTCTTCAGTGTGATTGTAAGGCAGCAGGAGTTTTCCATGTAACTGTCTTTTTCTCAGATATATTAAGTATAAAGCGCAATTGTTAGTTAATGTTTTGCATGTACCATTTAATCAGTTTATACTAATGCAGCATTTTACTGCTGGTCGAAGTGGAGCAGTATTTAACTGCTGTATATACAACTAAATGTATTCCAGTGGTTCCCAACCTAGGGTTCGCTGGACCCTTGCAAAAGGTTACCAGATAAGTCTGAGGGGCCATGAGATGATTAATGGGAGAGGAAAGAGAGGGGAAAGTTCTTCCATACGAATTCCACTTGTCTTGTCTTTCTGTGAAACTGTATAATTTGACTTCATTCGGCCTTGAACAGTGTACTCCAGTTGAGACTCCACACCTCATAAAAGAGGTATAGTCTTGTATAATCTCTACAAGAAAACAAACAATTCCCACTGAATTATTCCTTTAAACTTTCTGTAACTAAACTTTTAGGACTTTATTGTTAGAGAAAGCATCTTTTTCTTTAGACTGTGTGTTAACAGTTTTATCACCACATTAGTACAATAGGTATCTTGGCACTAAGCAGCAATAAAGTGGTTATAACCATGTCTTCATTCTTATTTTAGAATACAGGAGTTTAAAGCAGCCTTGAGTGAAGAAAATATAAACTTGAAGACACTGAGGGAACTGTGCTTCAGTGGTAATTTTCACACCTTGATGTATTTTGTACAGATAACATTAGTCTAATACGATATTTTATTGTGCTGTGTTTGACCCTTCTTTTCTTTCTTCAACTCAGGAATCCCATTTGAAGGAGGTATACGAGCACTTTGCTGGAAAGTAAGTTGCCCCCTCTCTGTGTATAATAGTAAGGTCCAGACCTTACTTTGTAAAGTGTCCTGAGATGACTTTTGTTATGATTTGGCGCTATACAAATAAAATAAAATTGAAATGTTGCGACCGGTGGGTCCAGTAGGTTAGCGAACTATAGCTTATAGTTGCATTAACAATAAATCATGGAAATCCCTTCTTTCTTTTTTTTGCTCTGTTCATTTTCAAACCAGAGTTAAATAAAATAAATAAAGTTTAAGGACTTCATTTTATCATTTAAATTTTAATTATGCTGTTTCAGTCTGCTTTTATTCTTTAGAGTTTTCCATTTTCATCAACGTCTGCTCTGCCAGTGTGTGAAAGCCTACATGGGGTCTCAGAGGGTTAAATAACAGTTTGAGGGGTGGGGGCAGTGGGTCGAAACATTTTGTAACCATCTGGAAAAGATATTTGTACCTTATTGCCCAAAGAAGCATCAAATTAAGCTTTTTTTTTGACTGGATACAACAAAATTGTGAATTTTTATAAAAATGTTAGTGGGTTGGAACAAAACATTGCATGAGTTGGTAATGATGGTGCTTTTGCTGCATCATGCAGGGGTTGAATACAAAATAGCATTTTGCATCTTTACAATAAACGTCTCTGGCAAAAATATCAATATTAGAACCGAGGTCTGGCTTTAAATTACATTTCAATATTTATGTAAGACTGTACAGATGAAATTGTTGCCAGTTTAACTGTATGGGTCTGCAAAATGTTGTGATCTTTGTTCTTGCCTTAAGATTGTTTTACCCTGTTTTCAGATCCTTCTTAATTACCTACCTCTCAATCAGACATTATGGGAGTCTTTCCTCAAAAAGCAGAGGTAAGTGGAACACATTATTGTGCAAATGTAAGCCACACTGCGTTACTTTTATTTGAAGAATCTTTTTTGTTGTCACATTAACCAAAAAACCAATGCTGTTTGGTGTTCTCTCATGTAAGGCTACACAATTAATCATTTTGTTAGCGTGATTTAGATCCCTGTGCGATCTCAGTCTCACGTGACAATAATTCTGCCATGTTTGCATTAGCAGGGAGATACCTTGCATCAAATTAAGCAATCCCTTTTCCTCACTAAGCTGCAATATACAATCACCACAAAGGGATTTATTTCTGTCTCAACTGCTATTTGGCACTAGGTAAATAGAGCAGGCAGTGCAGCAATTGAAAAATAGTTGCAGAAGGGCATAGAATATCTTTCATAATGCCAAACATGTTGGATTTGTTATTGAATCAGTCTTCTCTTCCTGGCTACAGCTCATCACAGGATATAATGTGTTCCTGCTACTGGTTAATGCAGCTTAGCGAGGATAAGGGAGCACTTGGTTTGATGCAAGGCATCTCCCTGCTAATGCAAACACGACAGAATGATTGTCACGTGAGTCTGAGATTGCACAGGGATCTAAATCACGCTCACAAAAAGGAATTATTGTGCAGCCCTACATGTGAAGTTAGCTACATCAGCTGTTGCTTATTGATGTTGAGTACAGGAGCTTAGGTGCCATGCACTGGTTCTTTGTTTTCGGGTGAAAAATTTTGTCAGCTTTTTTTGGACCTTCACCACTTTGCACCCCTTTTTACTTTGGAGATGGTCTTTGGACAGATGAAGACCAAGTCAACAGCAGAGGCATGCTAACATGACAAGATACTTTTAGACAAAAAAGTGAAAAATTCCAATTTAAGTTTCTTAGAGAAATAAGGTCATGTTTTTCCTTGTTTTATCTGACCATAACTGCAAAGCACAAAGGTTTTCAGTTTATTATCATGACAGAGAAAAGCAGCCACCCCTGAAACTAATATCAGAGAATATTTGCCATCTTTGCTTGAAATATGATGGATGCATTAATCTAACTTGTTTCATGTCTCTCATAGGGAGGTGTACTCCCAGTTTTTAAAAGAAATGATCATCCAGCCTGGTATTGCAAAAGCCAACTTGGGCCTTTCCAGAGAAGATGTGACTATGGAGGACCAAGTGAGTGAAGTTTTCTTTATTGTGGTGTTCTATTTCTATTGAATAACTTAAATGTGGGATGATTCAAAACAGGAGTATTTTTTATTAGACAATTCTTGTCAGGTTATTGGTGATTACAGTAGATAAGATTCTTTAGTTGAGCAGCACTTTGCACCCCAATATGACTGCAATACAAGTAATTTTCCTCACTAGTGACCATTTCAGCAGTAACCCGTAGATGCAAGAAGCCAGCTTGTGACTGTAAGGTCACCGGCTCAATCCCTGGACTGTCAAGATTAAATCTGTGTATTACTAGCCCACCTGACAATGTGGTTCTGAGCGTTCCTGATTTTCACACATAGGAAACCAAACCATGACACTAAAGAAAAAGACAAATCAATTCTATAAAACCACGATACTTTAAAATCATTATAGTTTTGTCAATATGAAGTCAGGACAGTCTCTGGTGCCTCTCTTTGTACACTTACCTCACAGTTTGCCTCAAATTTCATTTTTGTGTTTATTGTTCCCAAATAATTGTATGATTATACACATTCTAGTGTCTGACCCCTAATGGATGTGCAATTAAGCTAACTGGACTTAATGAGGATCATTGTCTCACTAACAAAAAACAAACAAACAGTACCATGTGAGAGCGTTCAGCTTTTTATATTAACTGCATTCACTTGAACGCATCTTACAGTTTTCACTCTGTATTAAAGTAGTTAACTGACCAATGTCACTGGTTAAATAGTTTTTGTAAAAACAAATAGATGCGTGTATCTGTGTGTGAGAAAAAGGTTAAAAAAATTACATTATTTACATTAGTGGGGGGGGGATGTACACTTCTGCATATATGGTTTAGGAAATCTTGTGGCAAATAACACAGGTGAAGAGAGAGTCTGCATTTCAGTGTCAGTCCTCCTTCCTTAGTCTTATACCAGCTTTGATTTATGTATAAGCGGATGCCTCCCCCATTCTTCTTACAGGTGGTTTTCTTGTTCCTGTTGTGCCATGTCAGTGTTACAAATGCCTTCAGTATGCAAAATCAAGTCAAAGACTTGACTGTCAGAATCCACAAGTTGTCATCTTTAATGTATGAGATTTGCTTGTTGTCGCTTGCATTGCTGGGGAGAGGGACGTCTAGAAGGCCCTACTGGGCCTGCTGCCCATGTGGCTCAACCTCAGTTCATATGTGGAAGAACATGAAGGGACAGATGGAGACTTGCTTCTTTCACATGGCTCAAAATTTAACATCTATCACAGCCTGACATATTAATTAAAATGCAGCTTTTTAATTTGATTAAAGCAGAGTTGGTGCATATTGTCTGTGCACGCAGTCTGCACTCTTGAAGGGAAGTAAGAGAATTGGTCAGTTTGTTACAAAGTGTGTGCCTGAATTATCACCAAGACTTGAGTACAGTCACCCAATAGTATAGTCAGATTTTCACTAGAGTCATTTTTAACACAAATATTCACAGCTTTCTCAGTATGCATATGTCTTCTATCCATATTAAGTGTCTTAATTAAAGTGTAGCAAAGGGGACACAAGAACCTAAAGTGTAAATAAATGGTATAACTAGCAGATGAGCAGCTGTTCATTTAACACTTTGCTTATAGGTGTAACAAGTCACTTATGAGTGGGATTTGTTAATTTTTTTTCAGCCTCTAAATCCGAACCCAGACAGCAGGTGGAACACCTACTTCAGAGATAATGAAATTCTGCTCCAGATTGACAAGGATGTAAGGTATGACTGTAATGTTTCCTTGTTTGTTCTTTATACTGAGTGAGTGTAAAAAGGACCACAGCCTATCATTGTACAGTATGTACTGTATGAAGTACAGTTCTTCCAACCTTTTAGAAGGATCCATATACTGTAGATAAAAACAAACCAATGCATATATAGATTATGTGCGTTTCCAGGCGGCTGTACCCTGACATGGCGTTCTTCCAGCGTCCTACTGAATACCCTTGCCAACTTATCCTGGACCCTCAGAATGATTATGAGACGCTGCGTCGTCGAGTCGAACAAACAACCTTGAAATCACAAACCGTAAACAGGAACCGCAGTGGAGTCACCAATGTAAGCCACTAAGGATTTTTCCATGAGTAAAATTACTGTTATTTCTCTGAAATGGCCTCAAAAAATTACAAAAGGTGGAAATACTGATATGCACCAGTTTGAGAAATGATAACTAAATTGTCAAATGCATAAAGATTATTTTTAGTCCCACTGGGCAAAGATGGTAATTTTACCCGTTTCAAATGAAATCTTCAGTACAATAAAATGTGCCAAAAGTGAAATGA